CTTGCACAGTTTAAAGCTGGGCTTACCTAGACAGCCTTGGAGTCACACATGGCTTGCACAGCTCTAGGGCTTTCCTAGAGATTAAGGCTGAGCTTGGCTTGCACAACTTAAAGCCGGGCTTTCCTAGACAAGCTTGAGACTGAGCAGGGCTGGAAGTTGAGCTTTCCACGAGCAGCTTGAAGCAGAGCTTTGCCAGATAAGCTCAAAGCTGAGCTTTTTCTAGAAAAGCCTGAAGCTGAGAACCACTCGGACAGCTCAAAGCTGGGCTTGCCTAGACAAGCTCAAAGCTGAGCGTGGCTTGCACAGCTCGGAGCCGGGATTTCCTACAGAAGATCAAGGCTTAGCATCGATGGCACGGCTCTGAGCTGAGCTTTTCCAGGTAATATCAAAGCTGAGCTTTGCTAGCACGGCTCTAAGCCGGGCTTTACTGGATAACATTGACGCTGAGTACCGATAACGCAGCTTGACGCTGAGCAGAGCTTGCATGGTTAAAACCTTGCTTTCCTAGAAAAGCTCAAGCCCAAGCGCGGCTGGCACGGCGCGATGTTAAGCACGGCTTGCGCGGCTCTGAGCTGAGCTTTACTAGATCGTATCGAGACGGCGGATTGCTAGCACAGCTCGAAGCTGAGCACAGCTTAAACCCGGCTTTCCTAGAAAACCTCGAGCACGAGCAGGGTTTGCACAACTCCAGGCTGGGCTTTGCTGGGTAATATCAAAGCTGAGCATAGCTAGCACGCCTTGGTAAGCTGGGCTTTGCTAGGTAATATCAAAGCTGAGCATAGCTAGCACGGCTCGGTGAGCTGGGCTTTCCTAGATGACATCGAAACTGAGCATGGCTAGCACAGCACTGAGCTGGGCTTTGCTGGGTAATACCGAGTCTCAAAGCTGAGCTTTGCTAGGTAATATTGAATCTGGGCATCCCTAGCACAGCCCTGAGCTGAGCTTTCCCAGGTAATATCAAAGCTGAGCTTTGCTAGCACGGCTCTGAGCTGAGCTTTTCTAGGTAATATCAAAGCTGAGCAAGGCTACCACGGCTCTGAGCTGAGCTTTGCTTGATAATATGGATGGTTAGAGCTGAGCTTTGCTAGCACAGCCCTGAGCTGAGCTTTTCTAGGTAATAATTAGGCTCAAAGCTGAGCTTTGCTAGCACAGCTCTGAGCTGAGCTTTCCAGGTAGTATTGAAGCTAGGCTGAGCTTTTCTAGATAGTACTGCAGCGGAGCAAGGCTAGCACGGCTCAGTAAGCTGGTCTTTGCTAGGCGATACTGAAGCTGAGCAAGGCTAGCACGGCTCGGTAAGCTGGGCTTTGCTAGGTGATACTGAAGCTGAGCATGGCTAGCACGGCTCTGAGCTGAGCTTTACTAGATAATACGGATGGTTAGAGCTGAGCTTTGCTAGCACGGCTCTGAGCTGAGCTTTCCAGGTAGTATTGAAGCTAGGCTGAGCTTTCCTAGATAGTACTGCAGCGGAGCAAGGCTAGCACGGCTCTGAGCTGGGCTTTGCTAGACAATACTGAAGCTGAGCAAGGCTAGCACGGCTCGGTAAGCTGGGCTTTGCTAGGTGATACTGAAGCTGAGCATGGCTAGCACGGCTCTGAGCTGAGCTTTACTTGATAATATGGATGGTTAGAGCTGAGCTTTGCTAGCACGGCTCTGAGCTGAGCTTTCCAGGTAGTATTGAAGCTAGGCTGAGCTTTCCTAGATAGTACTGCAGCGGAGCAAGGCTAGCACGGCTCTGAGCTGGGCTTTGCTAGACAATACTGAAGCTGAGCAAGGCTAGCACGGCTCGGTAAGCTGGGCTTTGCTAGGTGATACTGAAGCTGAGCATGGCTAGCACGGCTCTGAGCTGAGCTTTACTAGATAATACGGATGGTTAGAGCTGAGCTTTGCTAGCACAGCCCTGAGCTGAGCTTTTCTAGGTAATAATTAGGCTCAAAGCTGAGCTTTGCTAGCACAGCTCTGAGCTGAGCTTTCCAGGTAGTATTGAAGCTAGGCTGAGCTTTTCTAGATAGTACTGCAGCGGAGCAAGGCTAGCACGGCTCAGTAAGCTGGTCTTTGCTAGGCGATACTGAAGCTGAGCAAGACTAGCACGGCTCGGTAAGCTGGGCTTTGCTGGGTAATACTGCAGCTGAGCAAGGCTAGCACGGCTCGGTAAGCTGGGCTTTGCTGGGTGATACTGAAGCTGAGCATGGCTAGCACGGCTCTGAGCTGAGCTTTACTAGATAATATGGATGGTTAGAGCTGAGCTTTGCTAGCACAGCCCTGAGCTGAGCTTTTCTAGGTAATAATTAGGCTCAAAGCTGAGCTTTGCTAGCACGGCTCTGAGCTGAGCTTTCCAGGTAGTATTGAAGCTAGGCTGAGCTTTCCTAGATAGTACTGCAGCGGAGCAAGGCTAGCACGGCTCTGAGCTGGGCTTTGCTAGGTAATATGGATGGTTAGAGCTGAGCTTTGCTAGCACAGCCCTGAGCTGAGCTTTTCTAGGTAATATTGAAGCTGAGCAAGGCTAGCACAGCTCTGAGCCGGGCTTTTCTAGGTAATAGCGAAGTGGTCTATTGCTAGCATGGCTCTAAGCTGAGCTTTCCTGGATAATAGCAAAACTCAAAGCTTAGCTTTGCCAGCGCAATGGGTTTTGCGACGTAAGACTGCAGCTGAGCACTGTGGGCAAGGCGCTAAGCTGGGCTTTGCCAGGTACAAGCAAAGCCTAGCATTGCACACAAGGCTCTAAGCTGGGCTTTGCCGGCTGAGAGCGAAGCCGAGCGTCGCTAGGCCGGCTCCAAGCTGGGCTTTGCCGGGTACAAGCAAAGCCTAGCATTGCACACAAGGCTCTAAGCTGGGCTTTGCCGGGTAAGAGCAAGGCTGAGCCCAGCTGGGGCCCCCCAGGCGTGGCGGCCCTAGGCCCGCGTCCCGGGGGACCAGGTGGCATCCGTGGGGCGGGGCCGGGGGGGATCCCCGCTCCCCGGATCCCGGCAGATCCCCCCCAATCCCAGTTGGGATCCCCCCGATCCCAGTGTGAATCCCCCCGATCCCAGTTGGGATCCC